AGATCCTAAAAGGAGAATGGAGAAGGGATTGTGGCATGGCCCACCCCCCTACCCCCCACCAGGGTGATTTCTCACTTTCTGTCTCTTTCTGGTGAGGGCACACACCCTTTAGCAAAAACCTCTCCAAAAAAAAAATAAAAACTTCCCCCTTCCCCCTGAAATACAAGATCTACAATAGAAACAATAAGGCTTTTTTTTTTTTTTTTTTTTTAATTTTTGCCAGAGGGCATGTGCACTCACCAGAGACAGTCAGAAAAAGAGAAAGCATCCCCTAAGGGGAATGGTCATGCTGCAATCCTTTCCCTTCCATCTCTTCATCCTGTCAGGATTTGGGGCATATGCATATACACACATGCCCAGCCTGTTTGTAAGCTACCAGGTCTGGGACTTGAACTGCTCAGTTTGCATGTGCAATATGGCTACCTTAACCACCATGCCAAGGAACTGGCCCAGGGTTTTCTTTTTTATTCAATCTATTCAATCTTTCCAATAACTGGGCTTTTAACTTAAATCATCTAAAGTTCTTATTTGTATTTACTTCATATATATTTAAAGAATTATTTAATTTTGGACCAGCAGTTGGCATAATGGCTGTGTTGTTGGACTCCCATGTGGTCGACCGCAGTTCAAGTCCTAGACCCAGTGGCTTGAACTTACGCTGGGTGCACGTGTGTATGTGCCCAAGGTCCCGAGAGGAGAATGGAGGAGAAGGGATTGCGGTGTGGCCATCCGCCCTGGGGGTGTGTGTGTGGGGGGTGATTTCTCACTTTCTGTCTCTCTGTCTGTTTTTCTGGCAAGCACATGTTCCCTACTGCAAAAAACTCTAATAAAAAAAAGAATCATTCAATTTTATGTATTTAGTATTCTTAAATTTGACCAGAGAAAACGAAAGAGAAAGGAAGAATGAGAAACAAACCGCCAAGTCCAGGACTTGAACCAGTCAGCCATGTGGGAGTCCAGCACCTTAACTACCACACCACCTTTGGCCCCTCATGTGTATTTTTTAATCATGATAAAGAGCACATGTGTACACACAAGAGGGAGGTAGAAAAGGTAGGAGAGCTAAGTACCGCTGACAGGGTCTCATCACACTGCAATCCCCTATCCACAGTCAGTCTTGTCAGGATGTAAGGCACACACACATACCTGGCCTGTTTTCAGACCAATCTGAGTCCATTGTCAGCCATGATTTCTAGCACTACAGTTCAGTATGCCACTACCAGTGCTACTGGGGAAGGGCCAAAAGTTCTTATTGAAAAATACCGTGCTTCTTTATTACCTTAAGGAACCAGGGTAAAGAAAATTGAGATTAAATTCTTCCACTCATTATATAATGAGTGGAAATATATATATATATGTTATTTTCTTTTTTCAGTGGGGAGATTTTTACTACAGTGAGTGTGTGCTTGCTAGGGAGAGACAGAAAGTGAGAAATCACCCCCAAGGGGGATGGCCACACCGCAATTCCTTATCTTTCAGTCTCCTCTTGGGATTTTGAGCACATATGCACACATGCCCAGCATGAGTTTAAAGCTGCTGAGTCCAGGACTCGAACCGTGGTTGACTCCATGGAACTCCAGCAATGTAATCATTATTCCATCTGCTGGTCCCCCACTCTATTATATTTGGATATGCCAAATGATTATAAACATTTTCTGAGATCTCCATAAGTAAATGAAATTTGCTGTTGTCACCTAGAAAATAACCCTAATGAAAGTGTTTTCTTTTGAAAGCTGAAACAGAAGACAGTATTAAAATGCTGAGAGGAAGAAATTTGGGGGTCTTAGTTTCTGAACTCTTACCATGTGCCAGGATCCACAGAAAGCTGGGAATGTAGCTCATATAAACAGTACTCTGGGGGTCGACAGGTGGTGTGGTGGTGAAGGGCGCCAGACTCACACATGGCCGACTACAGTTCAAGTCCCATACCTACTGGCTTACTTTCTCACTTTTCTTCTCTCTCTCTCTCTTTCTCACTCTGTCTCTCTCTGGTCAAATTAAAATAGATGAATGAATTAATAAATAGTTTAATTAAAAAAATAAAATAATACTCTGATTTCATGCTTATATAGATATGGAAAAAGAGCACCTGAACTCAGCATATTTTTTCCAATTCAGCTGTATGGACTGTTATTTGGGCCAGCTTCTTTAGGGTATTCCAACAAACTGTGTGCTAAATAGTGGCTTATTTCACTGTTGCTTCCTTTTAGGGATCATACAATACAGTAATCTTAGTAGTACCCATTAATATACAAAATAAAGGTTCAGAAGATACCCAGAATGGCACTTCAGGAGGCAATCCTTACTAGAAGACTGAAAGGCTTTAAATTGAAATTATTATACTGGTACTTAGACTGTATTTGTTTTAAAACTGCAACTATTATCCAATACTGAGCTTTCTTGTTATTGAAAAATGAATACCGGCTGGATTTAAAACTATACTATATGTGAAATGTATCTGGTATCACTGAAAAACTGAATTTTTAATTTAAATTTACTATGCACATGTGGCTAGTGGCTCTTATATTATACATAGTTCCATAGAGTCTTCAATTTCTTGTAGCATTACTGACGACACATGTACCATTATGATCAGTGCAATTATTGCATGCTCTATGATACCCTACCTGTAATCTCAGAAATAGGACCATTATTCCTTTCAAACTGGGATTTTTAGAAACTTTTCCCCCCTTAGTGTTAAATAATTATAGGTGGAGCAGAACAGTCTGTGTCATAGTTTTTAGTCCTGTTTATATAGTTCATAGACAGAACAAAAGTAAGCACCCAAAATATACTCCTCCAAATCCACACTCACCACCAAGACTTAGAATATAAGGCTTTCTCTGGATGTCTTTTTAAAGAGAGATTTTTGCCATAGGGCACATGTGCTCACCAGAGAAACAGAGACAGAAAGCGAGAAATCACTCCCCCTAGGTGGATGGCCACACAGCAATCCATTCTCCTCCATTCTTCTCTTGGGATTTTGGACATGCACACACACGCACTCATTGTGAGTTTTAAGCCACTGGGTCCAAGACTTAAACTGTGGTAGACTATGTGGGAGTCTAGCAACATAACCATTACAACATCTGCTGGTCCCTCTGTTTGTCTTTTTTTTCCTCTTTCACATCATTACCCATCACCCAACACAGTAGAGTATAAATCCTAAGCTTTTTTTTTTTTTTTTAAAGAGAATTTGTTATAGGGTGCATGTGCTCGCCAAGACAGACAGAAAGCGAGATACCACCCCTTGGGGAGATGGCCACACCACAATCCTTTCTCCTCCATTCTCTGCTGGGGATTTTGGTTGGGCATGTACGCCTAAGTGCCTGGTGTGAGTGTCAAACTGCCTGATCCAGGACTTGAACTGTGGTCGACCACGTGAGAGTACAGTGCCTTAATCATTACACCACCTGTGGGCCCCAAATCCTAAGCATTTTAAACTCTGAAATATATGGTTTCTTTGTCACAAAAGCAGCAGGTAAGTTTCAGACCTTTATGCCCCTCCAACCATGTGCTCATCTGCCCAGGCAAATTAAATTTCAAACAGAACTCAAATGAATGAATGATACCCACAGAATAAAGTAACCCACAGTTTGTGATTCTATGCCATTTCTGAGGAACATCTTAGCAAACCTGTAAAGGGGACGTATTTGCTTCCTCAAGGGCTAAGTAACACTTAGAAGCAGTAAACATAATCTATTATTTCCAATCAAAATAGAACAGATCACCCTGCCAGCCCCATGGTCTTGTGTTCTTGCCTGCGTTGAGCTGGACCCCACTCAGCTCTGCCACCCACGCCCCAGAGCAGATCACCTTGAAACTCTGTGTTGTCAAGGCCTCTGATGGCCTCCACTGCATCTTCTGCCCGTTCCATGTGTACAAAGGCATAATCTTTCACGATGTCACATTCGATGACTGGACCATACTCCTCAAACTTGGCGCGAAGCTCTTGGTTGGTACATGTGGGGCTGATGTTGCCCACGTGTAACTTGGTTGAAGCTTTGCTCTTATTCTTGCTGGCTTCTACGTTGATGTTCACTCCGTGCAGCTTGTAGTGGTGCAGGTTGCGTATGGCATCCTCGGCTGCAGTCTTGTCTTCTATGTGCACAAAGCCATAGTTCTTAATGATGTCACATTCTAGCACCTTCCCATACTGCTCGAAGAGTGAGCGGATCTCCTGCTCTGTGGCCTCCCGGGGCAGGTTTCCAATAAACAGCTTCACCATCCTGACAAGAGCCTGGGAGAGATGGAACAAGTTTTCAAAGTCAGAGATGAGGTGGGAAATTTCAATGCCCTGTCAGATTTTAGTTTAACCATCCAAAATCCTTGGCATCTTCCCTCAACACCTTCACACAGTTGTTCATTAGAAGAAGACACTTGTGCATAGAGGAAGACAGTTTGTTCTAAGGATTAGTGAGTTGTATGTGACATGCAAACAGGAAACTGGTGGTCAGCATGCAAAACGCAGTCCCACACGGCGCATCTAAGTAACAAGCTAATCTATTTCATGTCTACTATCAGGGAGAAAAGCAAAAAGCCCCAAGTAGAAGACAAGAGGCATCTCAGTGTCCCTGGTAACAAGGTTTTGGAGGGAAATCTGTGCCTCTCCTTCGTGGGATATCACCTTTCAAGTTACTCGAATAAAAATGCCTCCATCCCCCCAAACTGGGACCCCATCTTCACCGCCAACGGCCCAACCCCCAACGGCCCAACCCCCAACTCTTTCACCCCAACAAAGACTCGACTCGACCCCTGCCCCGCCTCCTCCGGAAATCCAGCCCCGCCTCCTTCCGTTGTCTTCCCCGGACCTCCTACAACAGGAGAAAGCCAAACCCTTGCCCATATCCTGTCCGCCAGAGGCTCCGTACGGCCCGCCCCTGGG